GGGCCGATGAATCATTTGCCTCGCAAACAACAATTGGAATTCATAGCGGATGTGATGCGACAGATTTTCATTTTCTTGCGTTGGTATTGACTGATAACAACATTGCTTCTCGGAGACCTCGAAGTTAGAAGAGGAGGTGATGTCATGGACATACATTGGAAGATTCTTCGAATATTCTTCTAGAATATTCTCTAAAGATTCTCTAAAGATTCCTTTAGAAGGTTCTAGAAGATTCTTAGAATATTCCCTAAAGATTCTCTTAGAAGGTTCTAGAATATTCTGATAGATTCTAGGAAGTTGCTCGAGAAGTTTCCTAATTAGTAGAAGTTGTTGGAGAAGCGTCCTAGTTAGCGGAAGTAGCTCGAGAAGCTTCCTATTCAGTAGTATATATAGGAGTCGAGGCTGAAGGGTTCTTCAGTCTCGACAACACATCTCTTGGAGTTCTAGCTCACCTTTCTGGTGTTGTTCTTGTACTCATCTGTTTAATCTAGTTCTGCCACTTCTTCTTGAACTTCTTGTTAGATTTCAAGTCTGTATTTTGTGTCCGTGACAGACTATTGCCAAAGACTAGAAAACATAAGACTCTTGAAACTAGACTAAAAACCAAAAAAAGAATTGACAAGAGTGAAGAAGGCCTCACTTTTGCCTCTATATATACTTCTTAACTAAGGAATATGTAGCGACATATTATAGGACCTCTAATATGAGTCTAACTTACAGGACACATGTCTAATTTGCAAGGCAAGTTTCCTAAGCGTGTGCCATATGTCCAACTTACAATACAAGTGGTTAACATGTCGACACGTGGTCTCCTTGTTGGCCAAGTTTTCAATCTATCAATCACCTATAGACATGTATAAAGGCAAAGTAGCGTCTATGAAGCTTCTATGAAGCTTTCTACAAGCTATTATCATATTTATTTATTTTGACTTACTTCTACATATTCTTATTATCTAGATAATTATCAGGATAAATATGTATGTCCGTGATAATATGTTCAAAGATCAAAACTCTCATCACATTTCTTTTTGTAATTTTTAGACTGAGTAATTTTTTACAGAATATGTCAAAATTTCTAGTGTCATCAAGTTTGAAGTTACTTTAGAAGGTGACTTCTTTCATTTGTCATTCTTCCTCCTCTCCATCATATCTCCTTCTCTTTGTTCCTTCTAGTAAAGATCTCCAATGGAAGCCTCATACTTGTGTTGGTTTAAATGCTCAAAGCCAATAGAATTTGACAATTTATTTGATTGTTTTGAGAGAGTCTTCTCAGTATTGCTACTCTTGACCATGCTATGCAAACTAGAGTTTTTGGAACTTTTTTCAACTATGTCACTAGCATAGAGTTCCAACATGGTCAGGTCTTTTGTACCTTGGACTTCATGACAATGCACATCATTCAAAGATTTAATTAATTCTAGCCTTTTTAGACCAACTTTTATGAATGCATAATAGAACAAAAATTGAGCCAACTACATATATAATAGCTACAAAAACAATCAGATTATGTTAGAAACATAACTTTAGAAATACTCATTTGAATTTTTTTCATTCAAAATCAGAAGTAGCAACAAAAGTGAAAATTGGTAGTTATGGCTAAGCAATGTCCTTATTGCTATTCAGTAGAGGGAACTACCAATCCTCACCATAGCCTCTGTTTGTCCAATAAATACCACACCACATCATTGGGATGAGAATGGAGAATGGGGTCGAGATGAAAAAAGACAAGAATAAAGGAAGCATGGCTAGGAATGAGGGAGGTACGTTGCTTTATTAAAACATTAGGTGACTTTAACATTTTTTTATCTATATATAGAACCCTAAAGTTCAATCAACTCACCTAAAAATAATTTTATATCTAACACATTACAAAGTTCTAACCTTTTAATGCCACCAACTCACTTATTTAGCATAAGGTGTAATATTCTACTTATTATGTGATCAAATCACACTTAACTGTATTACTATTGTGGTGTTTATATAGTTGTTTTTAGTATAGAGTTGAAAGATGCATATAGTTCTTTAATAACATTACTTACTTTAATAGAAGACCTTATTAGACTCTTCCATGCAAATATGTGTTTTTAATTAAAAACATAAATATATGAAAAAGATACTAATCATAATATCCAAACATTATGAATTCTTCAGAAATCTCTTAATAATCCTAAAGAGTGAAGAAAAGATAATATTAAAAATGTATTAGACATAATATTGTTGGATTATTTTAAAAAAAAAATACATTATGATTATTTGATATTACATATGAGAATTTGTTCAATAATTTCATTAAAAAATGCAATAATAATTCAAAAAATTATCATCACATGGATTTGGCTCTTATCAAAATTCTTGTACATGCCTCAATTATAAATGAATTAAAGGATTGTTAAGCCAACTTGGATCTCCAAAAGCGCAACTTGCCTACTTGCCAATTTACGTATTTATAAATGTTTGTCTATAAACAAGAATGGACAATAAAACAAAGATGGATTTTGGAGGGTTTTTGTAGCAATTCATAATTATCTAAACATACAGTATTGCACAAAAATTTCAATAATCAAAGATAAACTGTTAATAAAAATAAAGTTTATTTATCTCTTGTAACCTGCAACTTCTATTGTATCATTATACTCTTTTCCAAATTAGGCTTGGCATCTACAAACCTAGTTTTTGTTAAATGTAAAAACCATAAGTGTTGTCAAATCAGTAAAAAACTATCAATTTATCAAATTGAATATTAAATGGAAAGACAGCATTTTTCACAACATATAATATTTACATCTTATAATAGATAGTATAATAAGTAAAGATTTATGTGTTTAAGTCAATTTATTTTCATATTTCGAAATGTTTGACAAGATGGACTCATGGTTAAACATTCAACCACTTCTGAATTGTTCTTAAAAATCTCTACAGCGTTTCAGCAAAGAGAACACCCTATTAATGTTTTTTCCAACAAAAACTTTAATCAAATTTTCTTTTGTATAGTGTATGCAAATGGATAGATAAAATCAAAATCATTTAAAAAATATTCAATAGACAAGTTAATCCAAAAAGTATTATTTCTTTAGTTTTTTTAAAGTCAGTATTAATTTCTTCTTAAATTGATTGATGTGTATATTTAGTTCTATAAACAGATTATAATCGATTCAATATCAACCTAGTTTTAATTTTAAAATAGTATAAAATCGAGGGTTTTTAAATTACATATTGACAGTTCAATAAAAAAAAAAAGAAAAAAGATACAAAATCTTTAGCTGTAACATAAAAAAAAAGATACAAGATATTCATTTATAATTTAGAATTCATTTTTAAAGTGCCATTAAAAAGAAAAAAGAAAAAAATGTAAATATATAGATATATTGTTTGAATTAACTCAAGATTGTTTCAAAATATGATCTATGATGTATTTACCAAATCAATGTTCAACATAACATTGCTAATAATCTATGCTAATGTTTTAGTATCTTGTCTAAATGTAGCAGTTAGATAACAGAGTAGAATACAGTGGATATTTTTTCAAAAAATTCCAGTGAAGAAAATACTAAAAGGTATTTATTAGGAGTTTCTGAACTTCTACTATTTGTTCACATAAAATTTAAAACATACCACCAATTGTTACCACAAGTCGTATAAGTCAAACTTTATTTTATTTTTAAACACATTCTTCTAATTATACATGAGAGTTTGTATTCATGTATATATGTAAGTTTGTATGTATGTTTTGCAAGTGTATCTTCATTCTTGTATTTAGATTCTCTGTAGTTTGAAACAAAATACGACATTGTGGTTCCGAGTTACAGTGTTTGTATTGTGATTCGATATTATAATTTATTTTGTTATAAATCACTAGGTTTCTTTAACATACTACTGCGAAAGCAAGAGCCCCCCAAGTTTAGTTATAAGTAGAGTTATAATGAGACAATATTACATCCTCCTCTTCAAGAAAACTGCAATTCAATTGTTCACAAGACTACTGACTGATTGGATACCTAAAGCATGAAATCCCGTACCAAGGTGAATTCCTAACCATTACCGACCTACACCACCTTCGTTGACTTTAAAAACTAATTTCAATAACGAGTTCAAAAACTAGAAAGAATACCAGATTTAGAGCGTGAAGCTACACGAACTGCTGAGAAATGAAGGATATGAATGCCGATCCGCTATCCACACTTCTAACTGATTTCAAGTTCGAGATCAGGATAGCGAATTCGAGCTAAAACCTGCAGTCCATTAATTTGAAACTGTTCAACACTTACCACCACCATCTCATGAAGCTAGTCGAGAATGATGAATAAAATGACGAAGTGGACGGAGTACAGCGGGCCCACACAGACAGCTTTCACTACCTTGCAAAATCAAGTTGTTGGCACATCAGGGACTTGCTTGTGGTCTACTAGCTAAGCTCTGGCAGCCTGGCATTGCACAACAGCAGATGAAACCCCTTCGGTAATCATGAGAAAATAAACACTTCGGGTGACAGCGGGATAGCAACACTAACTAGTCATATTTAACTATCAATTTTTATTTTCTTCCTATTATCAAGATAATCGAATGCTTTGATATCATCGCGTTGCTTTCAAAGATACAAATATTATCATCAGAAAACCAATCAAATGGTTCTGAGCTCCGAAAACGTCTGATGATTAATCCACCAATACTACGACAGAAGCAAGACGCGTTTGGCGATCTAAATGGAATAACATAACCTGAGAGCAATCTATCACATAGGAACTCGTAAGAGTCCCTGCACCTAAAACCAATGCTGCATAAGACAACCACATTGGAATAGTAAAATTACTTTAAAACATTAAACTAAAGAAATGAATCGGAAGAGGAAAACCTAAACCTAAATATATTTATTAGCCACTGTCAAAGTCCACCACTATTATTCGCTCAATCAATAGAAGGTATATTCGTCCTAAATTCCTTAGTGACAGGCAGATTCAAGAAAAACCAAAACAAAAAAAACAAACCCTTTTCACAAATAGGTCTGAAGGTAAAACAAAGAAGAAAGTGTTACGCTTACGTAGCAATCGACTTAGCCGAACATATTTTTTCATAGAAGGTAATCTGCTTCAGCTTGATACGACTAAGTTCTACTCTCAAAAATTAAAATACATCTTGGGTTGAACACAGGGGTGTAAAAATCAGTGGCAGCTGACCTAAGCAGCTCATGCTGCAGTGACACACAAATTTCATTGCTTCAAGCCAAGAGAACTGGTCCCATGATAAGAGAAAGACTAATTTTCTATCTGTCACCACAAATCAACTGTACCTGAGCCTCCAAATCGAGGAACGAATGCTAAGAAACAAAAATCTTAAACATGAAAACTCATGCGACCAGCCAGCCTGCCTTCTAAAATCCTCTTATCAATTGCAGCATCAACAGAACTCATCTGTAGACAACAGCAACACGTGTAAGTTACAGCTCAAGGTCCGTTTAAAGAATACAACATAAATCCAAGACAGTTTTTGTTTAAATATCAAGGAATTTCAAAAACGTGGGATTCACTTACCTGAATTGTTTCGTCATGAACCTGGTACTTCTGCAAAGACAATCTCCGCTCCTCCTGCAAACAATTAAGAAAAGAGTAAGGAAACTCAGAGCACATGATAGTCTCTATTGTAAATTACGAAAAGGTCAATTTACAGGAGACCTCTAAGCGAAACCAGGTTATGTACCACACAATCGAATCTACATAGACTATGCTGCTGTCATTACACTATATCGTCGATGGGTCTGCAACATTCAATATTAGTATTAGAAATAGAATAGAAAATACCATGGAGAAAAACTCGTCGTCCCAAACAAGATAGACTTCATTTGTGCCACCTGCGACCCCTGGTGGTTTGTTTGAGATAACAGGTGGGGGCCCTATCGATGGTCCGCCAGTGTTGGGGCCAGATGAGTACATATGACTGCAGGGTGGTGGAGGGGGTGGTCCACTCAAAGCTGCATATTGTCGCCAAACATATCACTACCAACGTTTAGTACTAAAGTTACATAACATGAACAATAGAAATATCAACTTCTGCTTTAGAACTCGATTTGTTGAACGGATTAAGTCTAATAGACATGGGTACAAAAAGACCTCATCAACAAGAAACGAAATAAGAATCTCACCTCCATAAGGTGGAGGAGGCAACCGAGCATTGGATCCTGGACCCATGTTCATTCCAGAGGATGCTCCTGGTGATGGCAATGGAGGAGCTATGCCAGGACTTCCATTAATACTTGATTGATTGCTACCTGGGCTAGGCTGAGGTGGCTTCACGAGAGAACCAGCAGGACTGAGTGGTGGAGCTGAAGGTGGTGGTGGAGGAGGGGGTCCATTTGGCGGCTGCGTAACAGGGAACAAGGGTCGAGGAGGAGCGAGAGACGAACCCGGAGGGAGAGGGGGCCGAATAGGAAAAAGAGGTTGGGAGGGAGGTTGAGAGGGAGTGGGAGGTCGTTGGCCTTGTATAGGAAACAGAGGCTGTGGAGGTTGGGGCATGCGGGGTGGGCCTGGTTGGCCAGGAAGAGGAGGACCGTTCCATCCTTGGGGAGGTGGAGGTTGTGGCTGCCAATTTGGGGGTGGACGTGGACCCAACCCTGGTGATGGCCTGTACCTGTAAACATAGAAACAGGTAGCAAAATTCCATGTAATAGATACGTCCACAGAAGTGATCAGCTATGTTTAACCACAACTTTACTATGAGGATCTCAGTATAGTAGATCTTGACGCAGGCACTGTACAACTATGAAACAGATAGATTAGGAGATTAGATTTTTTCCTATGAAAAAACCAAAATTAACAGATTACTTGGTCTGTAACCAAATAAAATCTCATCCGACCTGTTTTCTCGAACAAAAAACTGCTACGAGCTAGAATTCATTTTCGAAGGAGAAAACAATTATTGTCCATCAAAACCTAGACTCGACAAAGAAATGACCTACGCACCTTGCATGTAAGCATGCATCCATTAATACCTGGCAAAACAGACAAGCACCGCAATGTAAGGGTTCGAAGAAAGACTTACATAGGTTGCATTGCAGTATACATTGGTTGTGGGGCCATACCAATTGCATTCGACCCCATCAATCCCCCTCCAACAAAGGGTAATAACGGTGGAACCTCCACTCTTGCAACTTTTGATGGGTTCTCATCCTCTGCGTGAGCCGAAGCTCCCAATAAACATTAACATTGGCACTCTCTTGCAAACAAATCAGCATAGACTCTACACAACTGTAAATCGTACCAGGACCTGTTCCAATGCAGATTCTGAGTACGCCATGACTCAGTCCCTTTAATTATTCGTGCGGCTATTTCACATGAACTACTCAGCAAATTACTAAATCAAGAATACAAACAAGTTCCTGTACTACTCTTACAATGTAAACATTCTCCACATTTGTCACTTACTGATTACGCAGACTCTTCAAGCCAGCCCAGGCTCCAGCCAAGAAGATTGTATGACAGCAATCCGTCTCAGGATAAAGCTTGCATCAGCAAAAATGTGGTATTTTCGAACTTGTTGTAGGCAGATACTTGTAGTTAAACACTAGCTTTTCATAAGAACCAATCAAACTAATTTCTTTCGATCACATTTATAGATGAACTATGGATCACTGAATTGGATGATTCCGGGGAATGATTGCACACACCGTTTTGGTAAGTCAAAGAAAGACTAAGCGGTCACTAAAATACCAAAACGGGGACACAATTCTGGCTGCGCGTTTATCGATTTCTTTCACCTACTTCAGGTCATGTTTTGGAAATGATACATTGACATCATGCATGTTCCATGGAATTCACCTCCCAGCCCAATCCTACAAACCTGGCGAAGGAAATTCAAGGTGTAAACATAAGACACATGATTGATGAACGCACCATCATAATCCCCGTCATGGGCTGCTAGAATTTCGGCTGGAATACCCTCCATGCCATATATTTCAAGATCGGTCAAGGCTTCTCTTTCAGGCTTGGCATTAGGTATCCTGCAGACAACCAAGGAAATGTCAGGATCAACAAATTAACTATGTCAGGTGCTGAACCAACAGAAACCCGGTACTGACTACATCACACTAACTACTCAGGAGAAACGCGGGCTGACATGGAAGTAAATCCTCTAAACAACAAAGCGTGGTATAATTTAAAGAAGACGCGGCAGCGGAAAGTAAAAAAGACTCGATTTCTATGATTAGGCTCAAGCTCCTCATAGCGTACGGAGTGCGCTTCAGTTGCTGCAACTGCTCTCTCCCACAAGACGAAAACCTTAAAAGCGGAAGTCAACAAGTCATCGTGCTCAATTCCACCACTGGTCTTCTCTACCAGCACGAACAATGGCTGCGCACACTGAAACCCTAATGCTATTAATGAGTCACCTTCGAGGGTTATAGAGCCTTCAGAGGCATTTGGCGGTTAAGGAATAGCGATGAAAGGTACTCCATGCGCAGCGCCCATGAAAATACAGTATCGAAGCCAGACCAATCACAACAACGAAATCCCCAAAGAAAACATGCTCATCATAACTGTTTTGGAAAAAAAAAAAAAAAGGACTTGGAAAAAAAACTTGGAAAAAATCGAAACGAGAGGCAGGTCACAGGAAAGTACTTCGACACAGACTCCTTGTGCACTTGCAGTACATGAATGACCATGCCGCTGGCAGACGAAAGCTTCTTATGACACACATGGCACTTGAAATGCTTGGCTTTCTGGTGTTGGATCAAGATCTTCTCGTCCTCGAACTCACGCTCGCAGTAAAAACACCACACCTTGTACGTTTTCTTCTTCTTCTTCCCCATGGCTACGCCCGCTCGCAGGTCCTCTCTCTCTCTCTCTCTCCCCTCTACAGAATTGCGATCACCTCCTTTCCGTGCCTCTAATCTCAACCCTAATTGTGTCTGGGATGGGACGAAAGCATCGGCTTCACCTCGCCCCTCCCGAGACAACTTGCTGTGCGGAATAACTTCCTGCTTGCTTCACCTTCAACCTCCACCCGCGATACCCAGCGAGCGATACCCTTTTCAGCCGTGTCTCTCAGGTTCTCAATATCCAAGATACCCGCCCCCACGTCCCAGAGCTTTACCACGGTATTTCATGTGCTTCACCATGGTAGACTACAAACCTCAACTTCTAATGAGGTTTTCCACTTCTTCTGGATGGTACCTACTTTTTTTTTGTATTGCAACATACAGGAAATAAACAAAATGTCATGTTTTTATTTTATAATATTTTTTATTTATATTTTTGTTTAATAATGTATCGTTCTGTGTCATATCTAAGGAGGGAAAAAAATGTATAAAATGAATTAAATTTGAAATTGATGGATTCATCACTAAATCTATTGAAAGATTTTAAATTTTTTAAAAAAAAAACATATTATTTTGATGCTATGTTGAACAGTTACCTACAGAAAGCGAATCTCATGGTTGTCTTAAAATTATAATTAAAATTTATTATAAAGACTTCATCACCATGTGTTCCAGAGGATGATTTAGAAAGACCGTCTATTATTGTGACAAGGTTTTGTAATTGTTTTATTCAAAAATATATATGCAGTTTTAATTCAAAAATGATGAAAATATAATTTAAAATGATAATAGTAAAATGGGAAAATGAATTAGTACTCATAATGTTACGACTTGGGAATATTCAGAAGGATAATGAGATACTTTAAAACGTAATCTTTGGTGTATTTATATGGGTTAGTTTAATAAACAGATTTATGTTGTTCTTGCTACGTTGATGATGCAGAAGCGTCATATTCAAGTGATTTGAAACGTCGCCAAAAAATGATAAAATCGCAGAAAGTTATGGATTTGTTTCATCGATAATTCCCACCACTATTTAGTAACTTTCCTGTAATTGATTAGTACAAATCGTGTTGTTTTGTAAAAGCCTTACATATGTTCTTGCTCAATTTATTGCTGAAAATGGAATAAAGTTTAAAACTGAAGACAATGCTTAATATTTGCATAGCTTGAGAAAGTTTTAGATCATCAATTAATTTGGTTTCATACTTCTTCTTTTCTTTTCTTTTTTTCCTTTTTTAATATATATATATATATATATATATCCTGATAATAATTTTTTTGAATTTATTGTTCAGGCTACTTAGTAAATTTTGCATTGCTAGAAAAATTAGACTATTAAGTTTTTTTATTCTGACGTTCTCAAGTAGATAAGCTATATATGAATATAATTAATTCCGTTAAAAGGTATTAATATACCACCGCATAAAACCGTGGATCATGAACGTAATTTATTTTTATTTTTTATAGTGAATGCTATTTTGAGAAAGGTTATCAAAGTACAGAAGACTGTTCGCAATAGTTAATTGAAAAATTCAAAATTAAATAGAATACTTACATAATAAACCCCATCACCACCTAATGGGCTTTCTTAGGTCACCTTGCAATTGTCGCAGTGTGAACAGAGTCAAGCTTTGGTCAGGGAGTAGAAACCCGCCTACCGAAGTCAAACCTAAATACCCTGATATGGGTCACATGTCCTCCACAGATACCCTGGTTAATAATCGTGCCCGCAACCAAGGGCAGCTATTCTAAACCTGGTAGGGTATCGGGGGTCGGTCGCCTTCTTCCATCATGCAGAAGAGCAAGGCACAGCGCAGAGCGAGCGAGCGAGCGAGGCCAGAGGAGGGAGGTGTTTGATGATCTCGCACGAAGTGAGAGTTTGGATTTTTCCACCGCAAGGGAAGAGGAGGAGCATTGCGATCGGTGGAGCCATTGATTAGCATGAGTAAGAAAGGGCGCTACTTGCTGTGCTCGAAGAAGTATGGACAGCCTTTGTTCGCAGGGGCGTGGGTGAAGGGGAAGAAGAAGGGCGATGGCGATGGCGATGGGAAAGAGGAAGCGGAGGAGGAAGGTTTGGTGCTGTTAGCGGGAGGCGGCGGGAACCAGCGGAGTGGTGTGCCGAATAGCTTGCTGCTTGCGGAGTATGATTTCGAGTCCACCGTCTTGACGGATGCGCTGGACACATTCACCACGGCCGATGACCCGCCCTACCGCATGGCCGCGCATCCGGCTGGGGAGGGAGTGGTCTGCAGCTTTGAGAAGGATTGTAGATTGTTTGAAGTGTGCCGAGATGATGCCAGTGGGAAAGTGAAAGTGGGGGTGGCAGAGCGGGAGATCCAGGGTTTGCAGGGAGTTGGGGAGCAGAACTGTCTGGTGTTTAGTCCTGATGGTACCTGTCTCGCGGCTGGTGGTGACGACGGACACTTGCGTGTGATCGAGTGGGGGACATTTAAGGTGCCATTGCTTAATCCTCCCTGAAGGAACGAGAGGGTGTGATTTTAGGGGTTTTCCATGAGCGTCGTGTTTTCCCCCCCCCCTCTTTCTCTCTTTTTTCTTTTTTCGACATAAATGGGTTACTTTTTATGGTATGTTGTCGTTGTTACTGCATTTGGGCGAGCTTGGTGGTCGAATTTGACATTATTTTTTTCAGGTACTACTTGACAAAGCCGAAGCTCACAAGTCAATTAAGGATCTGGACTTTAGCTTGGACGGTTCATTGGTAGCCTCGACATCCGATGATAGCGCTTGTCGAATTTGGGACATGTCGGGAAATTGTGTCTCTTCACTTCCTTCCGTGAGAGGGGAAGGTATTGGGTTTGTGAGGTTCTCTCGAGATGGTAGAAAGCCCTTACTGTATGTAGCTGTGCGAAAATATGGGGCCGGTTTTGTGTCAGCATTCGATACCACCACTTGGAAGTTGACGACCTCGCACAAGCTACAAGAAGATCCTATCTCTGCCTTTTCTATTTCTCGAGATGGGAGGTAATTGGAAACAAGTATCTCTTATTTTGCAGCTGTTTTCATCTCCTGCCAGTATTTGTATATCTGCCGTGCTAAGAAGGCTGCAGTAATTTTCTCAATGGTTGCATCGTCAATCACACGTGTTTCTCGGGTTTCGATTTTGTTGGTACAGCTTGAACTTGCAAAGTGTGGGAGGTTTTAGGAAATGAAGGCGGACCTTCATGGAATACCGAGTGCTCACCATCATTTTTTTGATCGATCTCTATGCCACTTGTGCGCAGGTTTCTTGCTATTGGAAGCAGTGAGGGAGCTATATCGATTGTCGATGCTGCCAGTTTGTCAGTGTGTCAAACGTTGAAGCGTGCACATATGATCTTTGTGACATCCATGGACTTTTCTCCAAGTGGTCGAGCTATTTTGTCCGTATCAGCAGATTCTAGTGCACGCGTCACCCCAGTTGAACCGACCAACAGCGGCTCACGGCAGGGATCTCTGCTCTTGCTTGTCATATTCTTTCTTTCTATGTTAGTAGTTGTTTTAGGTAGAGATGTGCTCCCTGATTGGCATCATGATCAGTCTCTAGCTGGTGTGCTTTCGGGTTTTCTTGCACGCTTAACTTCGTCCTCCAAGTTGAATGTAACTAGCCATGGCAATTCTTGAATAATTTAGATGCTCAACATTGTGTTGATTTAAACGTACAATTGTAAACTTGCGGGATTACGGTATTAGTTGATGAGGTCGCACTCCAGGTTTTTTGTTATGTAAATAAATCTAAATTCGGAAGGTTTCATGTTTCGATGTTTTCAGGGCCTTTCCTCCAACAGTCTGTGCCTGCCCTATCGGGTGCTAGGATGGACGAAGTGTTTTCCTGGCGGTGCATGTGCACCAGGTTTAGAATATAAATGGGTCTCAAACTGGCCCGGAAGAATTCGTAAACGTTCAGAGAATTAGTTCCCCCAATTTCCTTCCCACAGTTACACTAGTAAATTTTCTAATTTAAGTCTCGGAATCAAGCAGTGTCACAGCATGGTCGTCGGCTCCTCTAGAAATGCGTTGGTGGGTTTTACTCACTTACTCTTGAATCGGCACATCGGACCGGTGTTGCAACTACTGTCATCAAAACTTCTGTTTCGTTCTCGATGTTAACCACCCTTACATCAGTAACGCTGTAATTGGTGATTTTCTCTGCTAATGCACCCCAAATGAGAACACGTGACAAGGATATAGGTAGCAGCGCAGTAAAAATGGTTCGTCAGGCGGAAATTCCACGTGGACCTCCAACCAGTGGGCGAAATCTCACATGAGCACGTCATCCCTTGTACCCTACCAAATGATACACTCGAAAACCAGCCTGACGATCAAACTGCCGATCGGAAAGAACAGGCTCCAGGTTGCTACATGAAGAAGCTCATCTTCCCACGGATATCGAGCTGTTGTGACCACAGCATGAATGCTCTTTGCGTGATGATAAAACCAATCCTCAGCGACATCGAACAGGTGAGGAGATGCACATCGTTGCACTCTTCACAAGTGGTTCAGTAGCAAACGAAATCAATGTTTCAGCCGACGGTTTCGAAACTGGTATCCCGCAGGTTCCCGAAGCGTGGTCGACGAGATCGCCGGAACCAGCGACAAGTTCCGATGTCCAATCTGTACAAATAACGGCCAAATTTTGCTTTAATGAATGATTTGTGGGGAGTGGGGAGTTCAGTTTCAGCCTTCGTAGAAGATTTTATTGGGAACCACCGATTGAATGATGTCTTGCAAGTCGCACTCTCGTCTCGGTGCCGGTTTTCTTGCCAGTCCTTGTCGGTGATGATTGGTTCGTGATACCGACACTGCTGTCGGTATTCTTTGCTTGGATTCGGCTTCAAGACTGTGATCGACTAGTTGCTGTGAAGCTTCCTTGGTTTAAATATTTTCGTAACGGACATCTACATTCTAAATGATATAAAATAATTTCAATATATATATATATATGTGTGTATTTCTTGATTTGAGCATGTAGAAATTTCGGTTTATCTATATTCAAATTTAATATTTTTTAATATATGTATATACACTCCATCTTTTCCAAAGGTATATGTAGGCTATGTTGACTCACATTCTTAAACTAGGGTGAACAACAAGTTTTACTAAATTTTGATGATCTCCAAAGATATTTTTAGAATGAATAGTCATGTTTATTTTACCTATTGTATTGAATGTGATTGCAAACATCCATCTAAATTTAGTTCAGCCAATATGATTCATTAATAACAAAAATCTGTCCAAGCCAAATGTTTAGCCATGTAAAGATCATCAATAAATAGTCATAATCTTGTTTAGTATTATATATTGCTTTGAGTGGCTGAAATTTTCACCAACTTCTATTTTTCATGGACATCAAAAGGAATTGGCATAACTATTCTAGGCTCTTTGGATTTCATGTTTGTATTTTATAAAATTTTACAAGGTTTTGCTGCAAGAAATTAATTTATTTTGTGACTTCAACCAGTTCACAAAAAACAAACACTTTTCCTCAATTTTACCCTTCATTGGTTTATGATTTTTTTTAATAGATAAATTTTAAATATATAAAACATATGATGAAAAAGTGGACACTTAGTTTGCATATATATATATATATATATATATCAACATTGACTTGATTGATTTACTCCGATGCAAGTTTTGTCATTGTTATTTTGTACTTTAATTGTTTCTCAGATTCTTATTGGGATGCATCATGGTTGGTAATTTAATGTCTGAAATGCTATTTTTAATGCTTCACAAAGATAATTTTAGAATGTTACTATTACATTGTGTATGTGGTTTAGAACTTTGTTTTCTTTGTAATCAACTAAGCCGTGTCATGGTTTGAATTTTCAAAGTGGTAGATACCACCATCACTTTGGAAATATTAAATTTTCTTTTCTTTTTGTTAATAACAATAGAACCAAAGTTATGTTGAAAATTCTATTTAAAAGTACAAAAAATGATGACATTATTAATAATCTTATTGTAAGTCACTTTTGTTAATGAGGTATGTTATTGAAGGTACTTACAGTTGAGAAAGCATCAATTATGTGCTTTACTTGTACACTTCAATCTTGGTACATTTAATAATAATCAAAGCTTAATATTTTTATTTCACATTATAAAAAATAAAATCAAGCAATACAACCAATCTTGTAAATTTTCTTTAGAGATATATCACATTGTTTCTGTTTAGTATTGTATTTACCTTTGATACTACAGAATAGTCATTTTACAACAAAAAATTAAGTGCTCAAATACATATTTTTTGTAATCTATTGTTTCCTCATCTTCTACACAAATTGTTCCAAGGTTCTGGACCCACAAGCTTGAAGTAGTGAACTCAGAGTAGAGGTACACAAATGTTGACTGATTTTGCTACCAAAACCCACAAATCAATGTGTGAAGTTTTGTAGAACATGATGCATAAAATAAAATAAAAAACTGCCAAGCATGAAAAAAATTAGATTCGTTCTTCAACATAAAATAAAAATAAACAAAAACACAAGTAAAAAAATCTCTTTCAAAAACCTTGAAACCACTCTTAAAATGTCTTTTCCTTAAAGCTTAAGTTGCAGAATGCATGGATGGAACTTGTGTTTGAGAATTCACAATTTCCAATAAATTCATACCATTAATAACTTCCAGTATTGTATAAGAAAGAATATCAAAATGTAACTGAGCTTATCTACAAGAGAAAGGGAAAAGCTTCAGAACCTCTCTTGTTTTTCCAGAGACACCCACGTCTGTGTGTCCTTTTTTGCTCCACTTTTACTTTATTTTACTTTTTAATTGCTTTATTTATTTTCTTTTATATCTTTCCGTTGTCAGTGTTGGTACTACACTTAGGCTTTTTGTTTGTTGAGCAAGCTCCAGCTGGGTATTAAATTGTGCCACTGCAGAAGAAGAAGAAGCTTCTGGACCCTTCCTCAAAAAGTCCACAATGACTCTCTCATTTTCTTTTTCTTTCTATCAGTTAGTGCTTTGTAAAGCATTGCTGCTCAAAGCTGGAGCTACTGTGGGGGAACACTGTGCTTGGCAGGGGATGTACTTTTTCTTATTTCTCTTTATCTTTTATCGTTTTTTTTTTTGCCTTGACAAGGTCTCAGGTGGGGTGTTCTGCCCCAACCCAATACCCATACTGCTGCTTAGACAAATATAATAATAAAATAATAGGGCTTGCACATGTAGTCATGTGGGAACCCCACTGTTTTCTTCTACTTGAGGTCAATTCCACAGCAGCCTTTTCTCTCCCGACCCCCCCTCGCAAACCCCTAAATTAATGAACGATGAATGAATGAATAATACTACCACATTTAGTGATGGATGAAAATATACAAAATGAATTAATTAATTAATAAGGAACCTTCGAGATTATATCAAAGGGAAAAGATACCAAGTGATGGGGAGCATGTGCTCAGCCAGAGATTCTGCAACCAATGGGTGGGAATTGAGAGCCCTGTGGGAACCTGTGGGGAACCCATTCCTCCTCCTCCTCAGCCCAGTCAAGCCCAGCCACAGCATATGCCCTTCGAGTGAATTATTTGATACAGTGGGAGGGGGGGGGGTACCAATTGGCCCCCCCTTCATAAAACTTTTGACTACTACACATGTATGTGCATGGGTTATTATGTGGGTTTAAAAAACTTTAATCCTCATCATATGATTCCATTTTCTGCCTTTCTTGAAACATTAGAAAACAATTAGTATTGTGGTTTTTGCCACGTTTTACAAGACTCTTCCATGGTCAGCACACTTAATTCCCACAGTAAATTTTTTTTAATGAACAAATAGTGTTTGTTTTGTTTTTTTTCCTCTTGCAACTTAATATGGAAATTGGTAGGATTAGGGTTTGATCACTGAGGCACATGCATTGACAATTTACTTATTTGTGGGTTGGCTGTTGTTGTTGTGTGCAGAATCTATTGTAGAATTGGCCTTGTGCAGAGAATTCCACCTAGAGTACTATTCCCCACCTGGAAAGAAAAGCAGGAATGCTGCTGCTGACTGAGGTGGTGGTGGTGGTGGTGGTGAATCAGGTATCAGCTTAGAAAGCAGTCTGTAAGCTTACTGTTTATCATTAAATTATTTTTATTTTTATGATCATTATTGTTTAGTCGATAACATGTAATAATAATAATAATAATAATAGTAAGATGCATTACGAATCTTATATATCTATCTATCTATATATATATATATATATATATGTGAAGTGTATAATAATGCAATCATGCCCTAGATGTCTACCAATCATGTTGTTTTGCAGCATTTCTTCAAACATGATTATGATAATGAGGTCTTGTATCGAGTCCTATTAGAACCAGGAGGAGGTAAAATCGGTAGCGTGCTCAAAGCTACTGACGAGCAGAGGCCAGGTGGTGGTGGCTGTCGCTGGGGGGGATCGAACCCTGCGTTCATTGAAACTATAAATTAGGGCAGCAAGGGGTACCGCCCGGGCCGGGTGCAGGAGGTTGGACATTTCGCTTGGGAACCCGGGCGGGGGTCAGGTGACCCTTTCTCTCTCTTTCTGTGTGTGTCTCACCTACAACTGGAGGATTAACGCGCAGTCTTGCCGATTGTCAGACTGCCTGTCTCGCCATCGCCAGAAATAAAACGCACGAGGACGATGCTACTCGTTGCTGCTCCTTGGGGGAGGGAAGGAGGTGCACAGTCTAGTGTGAGGATGTTAGCAAGCAAGCGAGTGAGAGGTTTTCCAGGGGAGGAGGTTGCCGGACGCGGGAGGTAGACGGGTTTAGTTATTTGTTGTGTTGTGTTGTTGTGGTGTTTTTTTTTTTTTTTTTTTTTTTTTTTTGAGATTAGAGTTGTTTGAGGTGTATGGCAACGTAGAGTGGGAAATGGCGGGCAAGAATGCGGAGGCGAGAATAATTTAGATAATTTGGAGGTGGTGATTTAGCTGGAGAGGGAGTGGTTTAGGACCGCGATTAGTAGTGAAGATTTTTTGAAGTAGAGAGACAATGGTGGTTGATTGTGAGGAGACGAAGCGGAGTGGAATGTGGTGGTGTTGAATGTGAGCGCAGTCGGAGATTTGTGCGATTTGTACTTTTTATATATATTTTTTTCTTTCTTGGGGTTGCTTTGTAGGGGGGAAAGTTGTTTGACGAGTGTTGATGTGAAAGAGGGGAAGCTTTGATACAGTGAGTGAAACGGAGAGAGTGTTTTTTGAGGTGCTACGATTTATTTATTTATTCTTTATGCGGGATTGAGGTTGTAGCAACGGTTTTCCGAGCTGGAAAATGGTTTCTGATCACTGCATTATGATTTTCTTCGGAGGAAATTCGTACTTGGCACGTGCATGTTAGATGTGTGCATGGCGGAGTTTGGACGATTAGCATTGATTTGACGATTTAGTGAAGTTTGTTGTGGCCGATTTTTTTTTGAAGGTGATCGGACTGAATGTCGCCGGGTACAAATCGTGGGGAACACGCTTGGCGGCAAACAAGCGCAGTTGTGGAACTGGTTCTGTGTCATCAGTGCGCACACTGTTTTTGAGCGAGGCCTTGAATCAGAAGTTATTTGGGTGGCTAGTAAGGACCGACACTGCAATGTGCGCTTGTGGCTCTATTTCTGAGTGTCAACTGTATTTTAAACCCCCCCTCCATAGGTAATCCAAACAACTCATGGTAGGCGTTTCCAAAGACGTTGTTCACGTCTGTTGCGTTTAGAAATCATCTGGAGAAGCGGTTAAAGTGGAAGATTGGAATTGATACGAATGCGCTCGATGCTGTTTGTGGACTCGATCGCCTGCAGACAACTGTTGTATCATCGAGCCCAGCAGGACTAGCACACCATCTAAAACAAGCCCTGAGGTTGGCTCCAAGAACTTGATAGAAATAAGCGGGCATCAAGAGTGTTCGAATCTTGGCAACGAAAGGTTGTCGAAATGGCTCCCCAGAAGTTCGATTTTGTTGATTGGTGGAGCAAGGAGGTCCGCCGTGGGACTCCCGTGGTCGTCAAGATGGAGAACCCAAACTATTCCATGCTGGAGATTGAGAGCCCTAAGTCCAGTTTTGAGGACCAGAAAGATAAAGAGAAGAACGCCAAACAGTTAACATGGGTGCTTCTTCTCAAAGCACACAGGGCCGCGGGTTGTGTCGCTTGGGTTTGGTCCGGTGTAATGATATTGCTTGCCGCCATTAAGAAACGCCTCATCCTGGGACAAGGATTAGCTCAGCAAGACAAGCCTCACAAAGGAAAGTTGTTTAAGGCAATTACAGGTTTCTTGGTTTTTGCCGTGATGATGTTGTGTGTGGAAGTTGCAGCTCATGCTTTGAGTTGGCACTTCTCAACGCCACACTGGCCTTCCTCTTTCCGGATTCAGGACCTTCCGCACGTGGTGTATGTTGGGTGGATGTACTTTCGTGCCAGCTACATTGCGCCTACGCTTCAAAAATTGACAGATTTCTGTATCTGGTTGTTCCTCATCCAGTCAGTAGATCGAATTGTGTTGTTTCTCGGCTGTGTGTACATCAGATGGAAGGGCCTCAAGCCTGTTCCCATCAATCCATCCCTGGAGTCTGACGACGCCGAGAACCCAGATAGCGGGCATCCCATGGTTCTTGTTCAGATTCCTATGTGCAACGAGCGAGAGGTTTGTACTGGCCCAAGATCTTAATGCATTTTAGCGGAGATAGTCTATATTTGGGCATTTATAGGCGGACGTTCTGATCTTCATATGGAATTTCTGAGAATTGTAGAGCGCGCTCCTGTGGTTGCTACGTGTAGGATTCGTCAAGGGTCGTAAGCATTACTTGTTGGATCAACTGGACGTAAGAGCCGAATTGTGGTTACATGAACCCATAGGTGTTCAGTTTGTTATATGAATTGTCTTACAGAACTGTTCCACTGCAGTGAAGTGTTCAGCGTACGTCAAGGCGGATGCATTTTTTCTTGTGAGCTAAATTGATAATTCACTCTGCTTTTCGTATTGCTTTGGTTGTATATAGGTATACGAGCAATCCATATCAGCTGTTTGTCAGCTTGATTGGCCCAAGAGCCGTATCCTGATTCAGGTTTTGGACGATTCGTCAGATGTTGAGACACGTTTTCTAATTAAAAGTGAGGTTTCTAAATGGCAACAGAAGGGAGTGAATATAGTGTACAGACACCGGGTTAACCGCACAGGATACAAGGCCGGGAACATGAAGTCAGCCATGCAGTGTGATTACGTAAAGAAGTATGAATTTGTGGCCATTTTTGACGCAGACTTTCAGCCCAAGTCTGACTTCCTCAAACGCACAGTTCCTCACTTTAGAGTAAGCTCTTGAATTTCCTAATGAATGGATTAATTCTGCAGGCATTGTGAAGTGACCACTTTCTATTGTCTTCGAGCCTGTGCGTGTCTGGCGGTCATGCTTCTGTTGTGCATTGTGAATCACTCACAGTGTAGTTGTGAGTTGTAGATATGGCTTGCTGCGCAAATTTCAGTGCATTCGTTTCTCTTCAAATGGGGTTCCTGTTAGCTGGCAGGAAGAGTTTCAAGAGAAACTGTGGAGTTCTTTTTCTAAGATAGTTTGCATTAAGATTTCGAGTGCCCACTTTGATCAGTTTTACGGAATTTGTGCTTTTCATGTGTACTGAGCTAAACTATTCTATTTTTGATTTGTTCTTTATTTATTAATTCTTTCTCGCTTATGAACATTGGTATCGTCGATTGTAGGACAATCCTGAGCTTGCACTCGTGCAGACCCGTTGGTCTTTTGTCAACAAGGATGAGAATCTACTCACACGCCTTCAAAACATCAATTTGTCCTTTCATTTCGAGGTGGAGCAGCAAGTGAATGGTATATTCATCAACTTCTTCGGCTTCAACGGCACAGCAGGGGTGTGGAGAATTACAGCACTGGAGGAGTCAGGTGGCTGGTTGGAAAGGACTACTGTGGAGGACATGGACATTGCTGTCAGAGCTCATCTTCAAGGCTGGAAGTTCATCTTTCTCAACGATGTTCGGGTTAATGTTCTCACTAGTTTTCTTTCGTTTAGTTTAATGAAATATTGAAGTAAATCATATATATATATATATATATATATATATATATATATATATATATATCAGAAGCTTCTATTTGTCTCTGCACATTTTGATAAATCTTAGTTTTCATTTTACCAATTCACCGTGTGAATCGCATTTTCTGCTGGAGCTCGTTGAAAGCCTTCCATTGTTAGTGCTTGATATCCGTAGCATGTAACTTATGGTTGATATGTGCGGTTCCCTGTTGCAGTGCCTTTGTGAATTGCCCGAGTCGTACGAGGCATATCGTAAGCAGCAACATCGATGGCACTCTGGCCCTATGCAGCTTTTCCGCCTTTGTTTTCCAGACATCATAAAAGCTAAGGTGTGTAACAGCTTTGCCATTGCAGAGTTATCTTGCAAACGCACATTATTCTTTTGTTATTATTCTTATGGTACATGAATATGTAACTGAAATTTTTTAGGACTCTTGAATTGTGCAGATCTCCTGGATGAAGAAGGCAAACATGATCTTTCTCTTCTTCCTTCTGAGGAAACTCATTCTCCCATTCTATTCATTCACACTCTTCTGTATTATTCTACCATTGACCATGTTTGTTCCGGAAGCGACTCTGCCAGTTTGGGTTGTGTGCTACATTCCGGCACTTATGTCAATCTTGAATGTCATCCCTTCACCCAAGTCATTTCCTTTCCTAGTCCCCTACCTCCTCTTTGAGAATACCATGTCAGTGACCAAGTTCAATGCCATGATTTCTGGCCTCTTCCAACTTAGCAGTGCGCACGAGTGGGTAGTGACCAAAAAAACTGGGCGAGCTTCTGAGGGAGACGTATTGGAGAAAGACACGGCTAGATCTACCGTGGCTCTGGACAAAACCATGTCCGAGTCCGGTATAGATGCATTGAAGACGCTTGATGTGAAGCTGGATCCTCTTGTACCCCCTTCAGTTCATGATGCATTGCAACCGCCAATGAAAAAGAAGAATCGACTGTATCGTAAGGAGTTGCTACTTTCTTTTCTGCTACTTACAGCTGCCGCACGGAGTTTGCTCTCTGCGCAGGGAATTCATTTCTATTTTCTGCTCTTTCAAGGTATCTCATTCTTGGTGGTTGGACTTGATCTAATTGGGGAGCAAGTGAGTTGATACTCTTCCTTGAAGTTGAAAACACTCTCATTTTGAAGTCTCCAAGACTAAGCATTTACATGCTAGAAAATCATGTAACCTTAGAACGTCAACGTGTTGAAGGAGATTTAATTCAATCTGCCGTATTCTTCTCCATTCGTGGTCACGGACAACACGAGGGCAGCCAGGCGTGCCACCTTCCGTTTAAGGATTGTATTGCCGATTACTGCTATGTATCAATTTTGGGGCTTTGGCGGGAACCGTATGATTAAATGTGATCTGGTGAAAGGTGCAAAGCACGAGTGTAACAAGACATCCGAAATATTTCTGGATGTGGAGGTTGAAGAGTATCTCATCAAGAACTGCACACTTTTTCCAGAGGAAGCAAAAGGCCTGGAATGTGAAAGGATTTGCCGGTAGTAAAAGGGGTGTACTCAATAGGTATGTCGGATAACAAAATGCTGCGAAATATTTGCTCTTCATTGTGATTGGGACATTCTTTGAGCCTGTATCATTATTTTAGATGCCTACATTTAGAAGCAATCGTACTGTACGAAATTGTCTTTATAGCTCATGTGAATAAATCTTCAGTTTCATTGCACATGACCAAATGGTGGGATGTAATTTATGATATAGAAAAGAATTACCATGTTTGTGACCATTCTTCCTAATGATGTGAATGGGACCTCATTGGCTTCTTCGGATGACCATTCATTCAAATGGGGTGTAACGTGCCAGTATTATTGTAGGTGAATGTCAGGAAGATTGGTACTCCATTCGTGTCCATTCGACGACTTAATTACTTCTTGATTGTGTCCAGGATTCGCAGTTGGTCTGTTTCTTTTACTGAGAATAAGGGGGAATATACTTGTTGAATTTCCACGATTGCACAGCACGTCTTCCAAAAGTTATTCAAGGACCAGGATGAAGCGAATTTTCTAATAAGTAACTTCTAATCAAACAAGGTTTTAGTTCAAAAATTATAATGTGACCAACCTAATTAGATGTGGCATGTGTTGTCATGTAATAGTAACATAAAAGGACAATCAATTCAATCTACTGTTGTACGTGAAGTTCAGACCCGATTTTTGTCAATTGCTCACTGTCATTGAACTATTGGAAGTCACACACGACCTGTCACAGCAGTAGATTAAAGACAATAAATTGATATCTACATTGAGGGAAAGATTCCTGGTCACATACTGTCCCAAATATACCGCTTAGTGAGAAACAACAAATATATGCTGGATAGATACTGATATGGGAGAGAGATATGTCAGATGATGGGGCATATATTATTCATTCTTCCATCACCTGGAAATGTTTTACTACTTGCGAAGAAGATACAACTTCGGTAAGGTATTGAAAAGACCTTGGTGAAAGTCTATGAGACCCATTCTTCTCAAAGAGTACACAAGGTCAGAAAGTTCCAGCTGTGCGTGCACAGGACGCAGGAGTTGTTTCTAAGCTAGCGAAATAGAAGCATACCAGATCAACTAGACGTGTAAAGCAAGAGAGCCACCGACAAGATTTAAATTAAAATGACCACTCGGGAACTGATACACGATTACAATGAAGAATGATCAAACAAACAAGCAGAACAGGTGAAGAATCAGAGTGCGAATAATGTTTTAGCTTTCAACACGGTACTTAGAGGCGATCAATATGACGGTCAAATTAATGAATTGAGAAAGACATACAAGATTTATGATCCCTAATATCCACTTCCCTAAGTTCGCATAACCATCAGCAGCGATGCATTCGACAGAATGCGTTACTCCTAAACAAAAATGGGGTTATTCACCGGAAGTCTTGTACTACAGTACTGAATTTAATATAAGAATGCGGCAGCTGCAACACCCATGAAGATAATCACGCTTGAGGCAACGTTGGTGGAGGCGGCGGATTCAGGTGCACTGGGTCCTGGAGCGTCAGCGACAGGGCCCTCGGAGGCAGTGGGCGCATTGACAGGGCTAGACTCCGGAACTGGTAGAGCAAAACCACACCGAAAGATCAGATATTGATAGATCCAAATCAAGCACTGAAGGTAGCTTCGGATCAAAAGAGAGACACAAACAAAATAACAATCAGAAAAGCTCAACCAGCAGAAACGGGTTCAGCAAACCCGATGGCGAAAAGAAGAGCGATCTAACCTGGAGAAGCCACGGGGGCCGTCGATGGAGGAGACATGGGCGAGCCTTGGGGACTGTGCTCGGGAGCATAAGTGGGTGCATGAGCCGGAGCATACACGGGCGCGCCGGGGGTCATCTCAGGGGCGTACGTAGGAGCCATTTCCGGTGCCATTTGTCCATTTGATTGTACAAACACTGAAGCGAAGAGCGCCACCAAACAGATAGCCACTGACATGGTGTTGCGGCGAGCAGAAATGGCCATTGCGAGCCTAAGGTTTTTCCAAATCAACGAAAGATGGAAGGAATCGAACAAATAGTGTCAAAACGACACTGAAGTTCCACACAAACGATTACAATAACACAAAATAAACCAAAAAACCAAAAAAATCAAAACGCAACACCCTCGACACAAGTTTGATCAGAGCCGGTGATACACCAGGCGAAATCAGATTCAAAACTGGTCATGAAGGGATATCGTGAACAATGATCAAGCAGAACCTGATGAAATTGAGGGAGCAAGTGACTGCATATGTAGGCACACTGGGACGCGGAACGCGGAGGTGGGGGACATCGAAATGGAAGGTTCTCATGCGCAGTCTGCACCGAACACGGCGCAGCACCGCAGAGATAGCGACGTTCGCAAGCTAAATCTAGTTGTTTCCACGATCCAGGCAGTTTCTTGCCAGTCGAGCCACCGAAATCGGTGCCATTCCACAGTCTGTAAACAGGTGCTCTTGTGTGTCGTGAACCTTGTTCGATGGAATGCACCCACCTGGACTCTTGATCGAGGGTCCTGAAGCAGGCAACGAACTCCACCATTTGTGCAAGCTTCTTCGGCGATCGCCGATCACTACTCCCATCTGATCCGATCTCACAATATCAACCCCCACCCCGCTGCTCCGATGCCTGTTTCGTCGACACCCGGACCGCGACGCATCGAAGATTGTCCAGCTTCCGGGTGACGTCTCATCGCTCTAAATATAAAGTTTATGAATGCGATGAAACTCCACTTGTTGCTTCACTCATTCACGCCGACCAGGTATTGCTAAATTCAGAACGACTCCATCGTTCTGGACCCTGTCTCGCAGGTTCAGGTGGTAGCTCCATTTCCGTTGCTGACAACCTCATGTAATGATGCATTTGCATGTTGTTGTCTCGCAGGTTCAGGAGGTGGCTCCATTGCCGATGCTGACAACCTCATGTGATGATGCATTTGCATGTTGTTGTTGTGGTTGCTGTCGCTGCCAGTTCTGCGTTTCTCTGCTGCCAGTTCTGTGTTTGTATTATATGAAAAATACATATCATGTAAGAAAACATTGTTGTTGATAAAAAATAGTGAAATATGGTTGAAGAAAGATCAATAGAGATTAGATAGTTAAAAAATGTACTTATAACAGCTTTGTGGATTACAAAGAAAATATCACGCCAAAAACGCATTTGTATCAACTGAGTATGTTTACATATTCGTTTTTATTTATTAATTACTACTATTATTAGATTTAAACATTTGAATATATTGCAACTATTCTATGTATTAGAATTATATATATATATTTTTTTGTAAAATCAATATTTTTTATTTTTTATCAAATAATAATTTAATTTTAGTTGAGTGGTAATTACAATTTTTGGAGTAAAGAAACATGTGATGTACAAAACATCAACTCTGAAAAAAAAGAAAAAGAAAAAGAAAAATCACCATATATACTTGTATTATTTTTTAGGTAACAAATATTGATAATTTTTATTCAATCAAAATATGAAAAATTCAATCAGTATGAAATAAAAATATATAATTATATGAACTAGTAAAGAATCTCAAAATTGAGTTTATATATATACATAAAAAGATTATGAAAATTTATGGATACATAGATGCAAATTGCTTAGTTGAGATTGTTAACAACAACATTTAAGCACATGTTACAAACCAAATTTTATAATTAAATTGAACATGTAAACTATAAAAAAATTGGTTAATAGTAAGCTACATAGATTGATAAGAATGTATTATTGAAAAGATTTTATTTATCTTTATTTTCCTATTTTTATATAGATTAATTTTGATTAAGTATTTTAAAACTATGACTTTTTCTATTGTTCTTAAATTTCTTTAGTTTGTCTTTAACATATATTTTAGGTGTAATTAAAACCTGTATAACTATATTAAATTATTGTGAGATTTTATCTTTAAAGATTTTTATTTCAAACTTATTTTAAAAAACAAACTAGTTCCATAAGACAACAAATTTAACAATTATAAATATTAAAGTAATATAATTTTGATAAAAAATTATATATATATATATATATATATATATATATATATATATATATATATATATATATTTAAAAATCTCACAATTGATCTCACTATTTACATCAAATACTTTTCTTGTTATATTAATTTATCAATTATGAATTTTTTAAATTAGTTGATTCATCATAAAAATAATTTCAAAAAAAATTTCTTTAAAAACTATCATTGCAATTTTGCTAATTTTGTCTAAAATAGATAAGATGAAATTTTTTCAGTATTATATTTTTTTATGTCATTTATTTGATATGGCCTAAGAACACTTACTAAAGTATCAAAAAATATGTAAAACATAAAGATTGTAGATTCTTCTAGTTTTGTTGTTATTATGAATATAGTTACAATTTTATTCTAATACTATATAAAGTCAACTTATGAGATTTTTTAAAATTTCAAAATTTTGTTTTAATATTTTTTTAATAATAATTAAAATTTAATTACAATTTGTTTACATTTATACCCTATGAACTTTTTTAGTACCTTTAGACACTTTTAGTAAGAATATACTAATACTGTCAATAATAATTATATCTATTGATTTAAAATTAAAAAAATATCAGATTATTACTAAAATATCACAAATTCATATATCTTTAGATTTTTAAAATAGATCTAATGAAATATAATAATATAATTAAATTTAAATATTTAAATATTATTTTTTTTTGGTCTTAAATTAAGATTCTTTAGAAAAATTACAATAGCTTAATCAAATTAATTACTTCTACACTATCATTATTAAAAAATAAAATATCAATTCTATGCAACCAAAATAAGAAATAATATAATTATAAAAAATAAAAAATAAAATATACATACATAATTAAAAAATAAAAGAATCTCCTTTATTATTGTTAATTTTATTATTTTTTAGTAATAATACTTATATAAAATCAAAATATGAATATAAAATATATCAACATATAATAGTTTATTAAAAAATATTAGATGTAAAAATAACTATTATTAAAAAACTTCTTATATTAATGATCTTCAAATTATCTTAATATAAGTTTTATCAATAGATTTTAATTGATGGAATTGTTAAAAATATAGATTTTAGTTATTTAAATATAAAAATATTAAAATCAAAGAGTCTTTTTGATGATATAATTATTTATTAGAATTTAACAATATTTATAGGATACAAGAGACTTATTAGATTTTTTTATAAAAATAGAATCTTAATAAGTTTTGGAGGCAATTATCTTAGTTGGTTTATTATTTATTATTTTTAAATATTAAAGATTAGTTATTAAGACCAATTTCTATATTTTCCTTCTATCTATATTTATTATTTATTAAAAAATCTATAAATATTAATTAATAATTATAAGAAGCACAAGAAAGAACTTCATGTCTTTTTAATTATTTATATTAGAAATACGATTTTTTATTGATTTAAATTTATTTTATTATTATAAAAAATAAGAAAATAAGAAAACATGATTTTAATTTGATATTACTATTATAAAAATATTATAAAATTTTTTAGAATTTATTTATAACCTTTAAGAATTTTTAGAGAAAATTTCAAGACTTTAGTAAAATTAAATTTGTATCACCTTAGGAGCCTTTATGAAGAAATGAAGCAAGATTTAAAGACCACACTAGGTTCTTAGGCTAATTGGATTTTTTTTGAATACTATGGGGAAGTCAAAAATGCAAAAATAAAAATTTTACTAGTAAAAAATAGGAAGATGAGCAGCTAGTTTAGTCCTTACAGGAAGGGAGGTACACAAGTTCCATATAGATTATATCACCTTAAATGTAGTTAAGAAGGTAAGAGTAAGGCCTTGTGGCCTTTCTTAAAAATCCAAAATATACTACATGTGAGTCTTGGTGAAGGTGGAATCTTTGATCTATAAACATGTTACTTTTAAGGTAAAATAATTTTATTTAACTTTTTATGTATTTACTTGCTATCTTTAAACCTTTTAAAATTATTTATAATAATATTAATTCACATATTTCTTATATTATTAGAAAGCTATTTTTTATTTTTTTATTTTTTTATTTTAAAAAGAAATTAATTTTATTTTTTATTAGGTAAAATTTAGTAAATAGATTGTAACTTAATTTTGGATTGTATAATTGCTTGATTTCATTTATTTTACTTATTTTTTGTTTGTTTTTCTTTTGTTTTTGTTATTTGCTTCTTTTACTTCAGACTACCAATTAGAAGCAACTCTTAATTGAGACCATATTGTAATTTAGATTAAAGGGTGGAATTTATCTTTGTACTTAATATTATATTAAACATGGTCATTAAAATTATTTTTATATTATGTAATTTTTTATAACTTAAATTAAAGTAGAAAATTATTTATTGATTTGATAATATTTAAATATTATTATGATATAGATATCAATATCTATTTTTTTGTATTTTTAAAATAAACAAATAAAAAAATAAAAAAGTATATATTTTATTAAATCATTATAATCTTAATATTATAACTTTTTTTAACTATTTGTACAATTAAGCTTGGTATAAATATGTATAATTATTTAGATAAGAGTTATTAGATAGAAAATAAATATAGATAAATTCAATAATATCTTATGGAGTAGCTTCTTAGATGGTTCATAGATGCAAATTTTACTTTATATGTATTTATAGTTGATTTATAGCTTGAAATCTTGATCAACAAGTTGGCCTTGTATTGCACATATTGTCACGGACATACATATAATTACCTATATGAATAGATAAAAGTATGTAAAAGTAGGTTAATTGTGTAATATCTTCTAGAGAAGCTTCTTAGAAGCTTCATAGACGCTGCTTTGACTTTATAGGAGTCTATAGTTGACTTTTAGGTTAGAAACTTGGTCAACAAGTTAGCCATGTGCCACGCATGTTGGAAGCTTAAAGAACAAGCTAACTACGTGGTCTATCCATAGAAAACTTGCCTTGCAAGCAAAGGCATGTGGCCTAGAAAGTCAACATATATTGGAGGTCTTATAGAACATCGCCACGTGGCTTCTAGTTAGATAGTATATATAGAGGCAAGAGTGAAGCCCTCTTCACTCTTGTCAACTCCTTTCTTGCTTCTAGTCTAGTTTCAAGGGTCTCTAGTTTTCTTGTATTTTGGCAATAGCCATTCCAGTTTCTTTCTTAATATACATATTTCTATTTTGTCCTATTTCTTTTTGAGAAAAGTCTCACTTACTCTTTAGCTTTCATCGAGTTCTTGTCCCTGACACATATTGGCAATTTATTGTATAAGTTGGCTATATAGCACACATTTAGGAAATTTTTCTTATAAGCTAACCATGTATTTTGCAAGTTAAACATATATTATACGTCTTATAGAACGTCACTACATAGCTCTTAATTAGATAGTATATATGGAAGAAAGAATGAAACCTTATTCATTCTTGTCAACACCTTTGGTGTTCTTAGTCTTATTTAAAGAAATTCTAGTTTTCTTATCTTTAGCAATATCAATTTTAGTTCAATACTATATTAGCTTTGAATGATTATCTATTTTTTTTAAAGTAATATAAGAATATACTCACCATTTAATTTTTTGAAATTTATGTCCTTTAAATTTTGACAAAATTACTAATTTATTGTTTTTGTTTTGTTTAAAAATTAGTAGATTATTCTTTTTTGTGAAAATTTTCATTTATCAATAGTGGTTACAAATTATCCTTCTCTAATTTGAATTATGGATTTATTAAAACCTTTTGGTATAGAAATCAAAGAAAAAATTATTGAAGGTACAATCAATAGAAATGAAAATAGATTTGTAACTATTGCAAATCTTTACAAGCTTGTAAAAACTCTTAGGATAGGAATTTCACATAATTCTATTGTCAACTATGGAAATACTATTCTTGTGCCTATAGAAAATATCAACAATAAAGTTCAAATTTTACACCAAGAAGTTATATAATTGAAAGAAGCAAGTACATCAATATTATAATTGAATCCAAAAAATCTTGCTACTACAAGTATGAAGAAAGCAAGTATAAGTAAGTTAGAGAAGTTTGATGGAAGAAGATCAAAACTTTATGGATTTCAACATGTAAAGTTCTATCTAAAGTTACATCTTTTTGTCATAGATATGCATATATACTCTAATAATTATCAATATGATTAGGTAGAAATAAATAA